TTGAAGGTTCTTGAGTTCCTGAGCTGGGGCTCACTTGCGATAAAGAGTGTAAAACATTTTTTCTTACTTAAAATTACTATAAAAGAAAAATTTTTAACAAAACGGACGCGATCAAAAGAGAGTTTTTTTTTTTTCATTATATACAAAAGTTATATTTATTTATTTTTAATAATTAATATAGAAAATTTTTTGTTTATTATATATTTAAATTGAATTAATAATTATTTTAAAATTATTTATAAATCATATAATAATAATTTTTTTTAAATATATTTAAAACTAAAAGTTTTTGATAATATTGTTTTAATATTAAATTAGTATTAAATTTACTATAAGTTTAATATAGTAAGTCATAATTTATATATTAAATTTATTATAAGTCAGAATTAAGAATCTTAATAATTCTTTTCGATTCTATATTTGATTTTCAAGTTTATATTAAATTTAATAAGTGGGATATACCTTATTATCATTTTTAATAGTGTTTCTAATCTTATACAATTTCTTGCAATTTTGTTTAATTCTAATTTTGGAATTATAATTAATACCAAGTCAATATCATTTCAAATTTAGTTTGAAATCTTATTTAAAATCAATTTTTTTTAATACTATCTTTTATTTATTATTAATTTTTAATATATATTATTTTTAAAACTATTATATTAATTTTATAACAATATTTAAATATTATTTCAATTAAATATAACAATTTAGAATATAATTATAAAAATAATTATAAAAATTTTTTTTATAGAATTTTAATTTTAATTTTTAAATATTGAATTTAAAAAAATTTTAAAATAAAAAAGTTATCAATATAAATAAAAGTGATAATTAATTATATAAAAAAATTAATTTTTAAATCTAGTATTATAAAAAATTCAATTTTTTTTAGTACAATTTTTTTTTAATAATTATTTCTTAGAAAAAAAATATATAATGTGTTACAAAACTTTTTAAAAAAATTTTTTTATAAGATTGATATAAGTTAATTATTCATATTGGTATCTAGATTACCAATTTGAACAAAATCATTTATTCTTAATTATATTTTCTTTAGTCACATGATTATACAGATCCAGGTTACAATTCAAAACCCAAGAATTATATCACTTCTTACTATTATCACTTATAAAGCACATATGCAAGATTTACAATATAACTAGTAATTAACTATTTTTTATCTTTTTTTTCTTTTCCCCTACTTGAATTCTTAAAGATTTGCATATGTCAACTTTATTTGCAATAGGCTAGGATTAATCTATTTACTTTGTATGTTAAAGATCATTAATATAATAACAGAAAAATAAAAGTTTAATAAATATCTTATATTTAATATCCATTTGCAAAAGAAATTTTTTATTTATCTGTTTTTCAAAAACTATTATATAAATATTAGTAAAATATTAAAATAAAGTTTAAAACTTAAAAATTACAATAATATAAATTTTATAAAAAAATAATTTTTTAATTTTTTAAGTATTAAAAATTAATTACAAATAAAAAAGTTATAAATTTTAACTTTTTAAAAAATTTTTTTTATAATATTATTTTATAACTTTGTAAATTTAAATAAGTCTAAAAATTGGTTAATAATAAAAATGATATTATATCTTGTTTATAAAAAATTTAAAAAAGGTTTGCAACACACTGTATGTAATTTATAGTTTTTTTAAATATAATTTATAAAAAGTAAAGAATTGTTTGTTTATTAAATAAAATTAAAAAAATCACAAGTCTTTTAATAAAATTAAAATTATAAATTTAAATAATATAGCTATTATCATTTTTTTTATTTTTTCTGCTTGGATTTTTAGAGTTCTATGCATGGCACCTTTATTTTTGACAAATTTTAATTAATTTATTAAATGTAAATATCATTAATGTATTGAACAGTTAACGAAAGTTTAATAAAAGTCACATATTTAATATTAGTTAAAAAAAAAGGAAAAAAAGTTATATAAACCATTAATATCAAAATTAAATATACAGTAATCAATATTCAAAAATTATAAAAACTAACTATTTTAAAGAATTATCTAGAATAGTATTCCGTAAACTATTATAACCAAACATACAAAATTTAATATTTACTATTATATATATTTTTTATTAATTATTAATTATAATTTAATTTACTAAATAAAAAATTATAATTAATTTTTAGATATTCTTTGTTTCCGGACAAAGCAAAATGTAAACTAATATAGATTATAATTTTGATTTTGATGTAAATTCGGACCAGTTCGGCTTTTTCTTTTGACTGAATGCGCTTATACCATACGCAGCCTCTTCCGATTTTAACATCTTCGAGAACACACGTTTAACATGCTGCTTCTTAGATTCTTCGGTTGAAGTAGAACCGATAACACCTATTAATTCCTTGATAGTACC